TTGAGTAGTGAGCGCTCGCGGCTCGCCTGGAGACGGAGTCGGACCCGAATTTCCTGGAGTCGTTCTACGCGGAGTTCTTGGATCGGTACGGGAACGACATGCGTCAGGTGTACTTAACGGGGCCCTGGGACACACAAAACTAAATACACACAATTAAAAGGATTCCCTATACTTTTCCATATTTTTTGGAGTTCCGCCTTCCCCCCCACTTCCCATGTGTTCCCATATTTTCCTGGGGACCGACGATTAATTGTGTCTGTGTGTTTTTCTCCCTCCTGAGTACTGTCTCGAAGGTGCTGTCGGGGACACACACCGCGGCAGGTCCCCAGGGGCCAAGATCCAGATGCTGCCAGAGATCCAGGCCGCTCCGCTCCGCGGGAGGCTCAGGAAGGCTCGAGACGTTTTGGCCTGGGAACTGGGAAGTGGATAGCGTGTCGCGCCGAAGCGTGGTGGGCCGGAGCTGGCGGAGCGGTCCCGGCCGCACGACGGCGACGACGAGGATCCTCCCCATCCCTCTTCTGTGGCAACCCATGGAAGCCTACTGTGTCATCTAGCTGGCTAGTCAGCTCTACATCGGCGCGCTCTCTCCCTCTCTCTCTTTCTCTCTTTGTCTCTCTCTCTCTCTCACTCTCTCTCTCTCTTTCTCGCACTCCCTCCTCTCTCTTTATCTCTCTCTCTCACTCTATCTCTCTCTCTCTCTCTCACCAATTACCAGACTCGGGAGCACGCTGATGCACTCCGAAAACGCGACTTCGAGGACATGCAAGGCTTCTGTGATCTGCTACCGGACCTCCCTCCCTACGCAGGCCCGCCTATCTGCATCAGCGGGGGCGGCGTGGAGAGCTCGCTGACCAGGGAGCGTATCTCTCGAAGCTCCTGGCAGTCCATCGTGCCACTCCTCATCCTCCTCCGTCCTCCTCCGTCCTGTCCTCCTCCTCCTTCTGACCCAATCCGCTGTGCCATGCGCGTGCAAACTCGCCATCGATCGTGAAATCAATCATCGAATGTCGCTTGTTAGCATGAAAGAGAAAAGAACGGTATCTTGGAGGAAATGGTTCTGAGGGTATTTTCCAAATTTCCAGAGCCAGGGGCCCCGCTGGACCGGGGACCGTCGAAAAACAAGGAATCCCCGGGGTCAAGGACCCGTGTCCCTCGGGACCCCTCTTCTGCATGGGAAATTGCTCACGCAATAATGCAAATCGTTAATATGCAGATTTGATGGCTTAGCGTCCGCCGCACAAACCACGCACGATCTTCGTGGACATCGGCGGCTTGCTGATATGGTGACCTCTGCAGCTGCATTGGGAACATGCCACGGCCGAGGCACCAGCAATTCAACGCCGCTGCTGCTGGCTTGAATCAGCGTGTGACTGCTGCTATACGACGGTGGGCTATGATGTCCACCAAGGCTTCACCGATCACCTTTCACCAACCGCGCCATGCGTGATCGCACGAGACATCTTGTGAAACACCATGCTGGGATAAACGACTGCAACAACACGGATGACAAGACAAAGCGGACAAGGTCAGTCAGCCGAGAATGCAGTTACGTAACTCAGAAAAGGCTGTCCTCTGCCAAGGTGAACATATCCAGTTTCTGCGCCTGTTGACAGCGCTGACGGTGCGATCAACGCATCCATTCGGGCAGAGCGTGGAATGGCATGCAACGTTTCGATGGAGACAGGAGGGCACACAGGAGCAGATGCAACAAGGAAGATATGGCGCGAGACCGGGGCGCAGGGATGCATGGAAGAGTCGCAAGAGAGAGGGGGAGAGTGACGGGGTGAAGGGGAAGAAAGCAGTACCAGCGAGACACACGACAGGACTACAGCAAACTGCAAGGTTAGAATCAGCGGGTTGGTAAGCAGGGAAAGAGAGAAACTTAGAGACAGTGAGGGAGAGGGAGAGAGAGAGAGAGAGAAAGAGACAGGGAGAGAGGGAGAGAGAGAGAGGGAGAGAACGAGAGAGAGAGAGAGAGAACGAGAGAGACAGAGAGAAAGAGAGAGAGAGAGAGAGCGCGCCGCGCGCGCAACAAGTAAGCTACATATACATAGTTAATCATGCGTATGTTGCACCTGGCTGTTGGTCTGACCACAGTAATTCGGGAAGCGAGTTGGGGAGTCAGGGCCAGAGCTGGGGAAGGACGGGGCGGTGGTGGGACGTATACTGCCATCCCGACGGAGGCTATTAAAGAAATGCCTGACGTCAGGGTCACATATCATAGAACCCTGCCGGACTTCTGGTGAACTACTTGCTGCAACCTCCTCTGGATAGACGGTGCTAGGGGATGCTAGGTATAACTGGCCACTCTTATCGCCGTCGCCTTCCTGTAGCCGATTTGGGCTTCAGGCTCAAGTCTGGAGGGCCCGTAACAAGCCAGTCCCGAATCTCCAGTTCGGGGCAATGCAAACTAAATGAATCCGCGTGGCTATCAACAAGAGTAGGGGGCGCGCGAGCCGAACCTCTCGTGAAAGGAGGGGGGCCATGCACCCAATCCCGAATCGAGTAGGAAGGTGGGCCGTTCCTGCCCCGCGGTCCTCCCATCGCGCGTAGACAGTATTGGACTCGGGGAAAACACGCGGATGGCAACGCAAGGCGCAGAGGTGGCATTGCGGAGGGGTGGGAGATGAGGCCAGAACGGAACAGAACAGCTGAACCGACACACAGCGAGAACGAGGTACAACACATGCATCGATATTTGTGCATCTACTTGCATTTAGATAGATCAGGGCCCCGTAGAACCGGACACACTGGACTCGGACACCCAACTGCCCTCGAAACCAATTCGCCCAGACAGTGGCACGAACAAAATACTGCACTGCAACATTTCCAGAGTAAGCCCCGACACAAGCCATAAAAGCCGCAGCAAACAAGAAATGCACGGGTGCTGAAAAATGCGACTTTGGAGCAAAGGGTGTCGTTTCCGTTGTTTCCCGTGTCCTGGTTTATTTGTGTCCTGGTCTCCAGGGGCCTGAATTGATATATCAACATTTCCGCCAGACCCCTTGTGAGGCTGCGTGGCTTAGGCTTGCCCCCTGCGCCAGTTCCAACTTCCTGTTTCCATTGTGATGGTTTACCGTCTGCTTCCTGTTGGCAGATTGCTGAAGTCCGCACGAGGGGGGGCAAGCCCCAAACCGGCCTACACCACGCCCTCCCAAGGGACTCAGAATTTCTAGGGTTCGTGGGACATGCACGTACGTGAGACTCGCGCCCCGAATACAGTAAGCCTTCCCCCGAAATTACGCGATGGTCGCGTGCCCGAGGCAATCTAAGTTCGAAAATTACGTGATACTCGCGTCCCGGAGGCCAAGATCCTTTGACAATTACGCCGGACGTGTGCCCCCGATGTACACCATATTCGCGACCCCGAATCCAAAACCACCCCAACGATACGCCATTGTTCGCGTCCCCGAGGCCCCGACCCGTGATCGAATTATACCAGATCTACTTACACGAAACCAGAACCTCTTGTAACTTCCACAATGTTCGCGTCCCCGAAGCCGTAAGCCCTGGCAAGTTACACGCCGGTCGGAAGAAGAAGGTAGAAACACCAAGTAGGAAGGCGGATTAAGTGGATGTGGTCCATGTCCTCCCAGAGAATAACAAAACACAACAAAAGCTTGTCGATTCTTGAAGTAGGAAGGCGCTTGACAAGGATTGGGATCTGGGAATCCAGAAATACCTACTTTCAACGACCGGCGTGTTCGCCAGATCTGCGTTGTCGGGGCCACGCCCGCCATAAACTATGCAAAGATCGCGTGCCCGAGGCCACGGCCCCTCGCAGATTGCGCGATGCTCGCGCGCCCGCGGCGGCGATCCCTCGTTCACGCCCCCGGGGCCACGATCCCTCGCAAACACGTTGTCGCATTCGCGAAAACATAAGTACCAGATCTGCGCCACCGAAGCCACGATCCCCCGTAAAGTACGCAACCTCCGCGTCCTCGAAGCCACGGTCCCTCGTGAGTTACGCTATATTCGGTTTCCCGAGGCCACGATCCCCCAGAAAGTACACAAAATTAGCGCCCCCGGAGCCACGACCCCCCGTAAATAACGCCACGCGTGCGTCCTCGAAGCCAGAATCCTTAACCGGACCAGACAAGAACGGGAAGCGTCCTTTTGTGTCCTGGGCTTATGAAATCTCCTACGTTCTTAGTATGGACTGCGCAAGTCTGTCGTGGCGCGCTTGCGTTTGCGTGTGCGCGTGCTTGCGTGGAATATGTGTATGTGTGTCCGTGCGTGGTGGTATGCGGCACTGCTGTGTTATGCCATGCTGCCCTGCCGTGCTCCTGCGGTCTGCGTGAACGCATGTTGACTCTCTGTGTGTGTGCGTGTGTGTGCATGTGTGTATGTGCCTGCGTGTGCGTGTGCCTATGTGCGTGTGCCTATTTGCGTGTGCCTATGTGCGTGTGCCTATGGGTGCGGCTCTGTGAATACATGCTCTATGTGTATTCTGCCGTGCTGCTGCGTGTTCTGCCGTGCTGCTGTGTGTTCTGCCGTGCTCCTGTGTATTCTGCCATGGTCCTGCTCTGCCGTGCTCCTATGTGTTAAAGTTGAAGTTAAAGACGGGGCCTTCAAGGCGTAGGGGGTCGCCCAAGAAAAAATACAGACTGGGCCAGACGGGGCCAGAGCTCCCGAAAGAAGCCGAGTCGCCTCAAGTGCAGCACTGACCAGAGCATATGCTACACAATATCATATCAAGTGCAACACTGCAAAGAACAGGTCCTACACATATCCCCATCGACTCGCAACCAGAATCATGCAAGCACTGCGCACAACAGCAGAACCTGCACATGATCAGGGCTCACTGAGAGTGTGCAATCGACTGCAAAGAAATCTAACGGAGTGCACAATCAGATGCAGCAAGCCACTCACATGACAGAGAGAGTGCGCCCTCAACAATACCGTGATGCGTCAGAGAACACACCCAAATACAGGAGGCCACTCACTCAGAAGAGGAAGCGATGTCCGAACAGCAAGGAGGCACTCGAGGCAGCAACACCTTACCGCGTGCTCAAGTCGACCCTGCGCTGCACTTGGTCGGCGATGTCCTGCACCGTCTGCCAGCCCGCCCTAGCGAGCAGCAAGTCGGACTCGGCCGAGCTAGGAAGCGTGACACCGAACCTCTTTTCGAGCATCTCCACGACCCGAGCGGCGTTCTTCACGCAGCCGCCGAAAGGAAGGAAGGCAGAGGAGCTGGACACCGTGCTCCCGATGAGCCGAAGCTGCGTGGCCAGGACGCAGGCGACCACGCGCTCCGCGGGCAAGGCCTGACGCCCGATCTTCACGCTCTGCACGGATCCCTCCGACCCGCCGTCGTCCCAGTTGACGCCGCGCCGCCGCCTCTGCTCGGCGTCGCCGTGCCCGTCCACGTCGCGCAGCTCGCCCTCGTCGCACTCGGACGGCTCGCGGCTGCGCTGCTCGGCCCTGAGCGTTGGGAAGAGCGAGGTGGCAACCAGCACCGCCGCCCGCTGGCGCGCGACAGGCTCGGCTTGGCCGCGGCGCCTCTCCTTCAGCCCGTCCTCCAGCTCCTGCTCGCTGCCGACCGTGCTGAGGCTACAGCCGCTGCCGTCGCCCTCCTGCGGCGCAGAGCCCACCGGTGCCGCCTCGGCGCGGCGGCGCCGACGGCTGTGGCCGCGGGGCCTGCCGCCTGCCTCCGCCTCGGCGCCAGCCGCTCCGACGGCGGCAGGGGCCCGCGCAACAGGTTCCCCCGATTTGGCCGCAGCCCGAAGCGGCCCGAGGTCGGGCGCGACCTGCACCGAGCTCACAGCTGCCTCGCCTGCCGCCGGGGGCGGGCCCGCCGCGCGAGCCGCGCATCGGCCGCCGCGCTGCGCGCCCTGCGGCCGCGAGAGGGCCTCCTGCAGGACCTCCACGCCCTTGCCGAGGTCGACGTGCGCGCCGACGTTGCGCAAGGCACGGCCCCTGCCGCAAGGCCGCGCGCCCCGCACCTGCTGGCGCATAGCCGGCCCCATGGCGGCCTGACGCATGGCGAGCTCGAGGTCCTCCTCGGCGCACGCCGCGTCGCCGCCGTCCAGCAGCGCCCGAACCGCGCGCACAGCTGCGGCCACGGCTGCCGCGACAACCTGCCTGGAGCCGCCGCCTGCCGCTGCTCCGTGCGCAGCTCCGTGGGCGGTGGCCTTCAAGAGCTCGGCAGCGCCTGCCAGCTCCTCGGCCCCGCCCGACCGCAGCCCCATGCTCGCGCCGCCGCAGCAGAAGACCGAACGGGCAGCGCAGCAAATGGCTTGAGCCAAAACGGCTACGGATGCTCCGATGTGTTCTGCCATGCTCCTGCGTGTTCTGCCGTGCTCCTGTGTGTTCCGCCGTGCTGCTGGTTGTTTTGTCGTGCTCCTATCAATTTTGTGTGATCTGCCGCGCTCCTGTGCGTTCTGCCATGCTCCTGCGTGTTCTGCCCTGCTCCTATGTACTCTGAATATTCGGCCGTGCTCCTCCTGATCCTGCGCGTTCTGCCGTGCTCGCGCGTGCTAAAGTTAAAGTTAAAGACGGGGCCTTCAAGGCACAGGGAAGGAGGAAAACGGGGACAGGGCCAGGCGGGGCCAAAGTTCCCGAGAGGCGCCGAGTCCCAGGCAAAGCGAGCCACCTGAGCCTACGCACAAGGGAGCAACAGGCGCTGGCGGAAAGGCGGGAAGGCCTTCAATCACTCTCCGACTCCGAGCCGCGGCGCGCCAGGCGGCGGCGGACCCTACGGCTCACGTGGCCGCCGCTCGGCGCGGCGCCCGCGGCTGCGCGCTCCTCCTCGGCGGTCTCGCTCGCGCCGAGGGCCCCAGCACTCGGGCTTGGCCGCTGCTGGGGCAAGCTGGCAGCCGCCGCCTCCACCGCCTGCGCTGCCGCGGGAGCCGCTGGACCGCTGCCAGAGCTGCTGGCCGCGGCTGAGGCTCCGCCTGCAGGCTCCGCTTCCATGCCGAGCCACTCCAGGTAGCGCCCCTGGGCGTGTCCTGGCACTGGCCCTTGCGAGCGCAAGGCAGGGATGCCCCCTGCCTCACTCTCTGTTTGTCCGCTCGAGGCCTGCCTCCAGGATGGAGCCCTCGCTCCCGCAGGCTGCGCTGGTTCCTGCCTGACTTGTTGGTCAGGTAGCTGGGCCCTGGGCACTGCGCCTTCAGGCGAGACTTGCCTCCCGCGTGGCTGCCCGGCACCTTGCAGGCGCCACGCTTGGAGCAAGCCGCGATCTCCTGGGTGTCCTCGCCTTCGCCCGCGCAGGCGTAGCTGAGCACGTGCCCCAGGATGCTGAAGGCGACAGCGGTGGCCGAGAGGGCTGCCGCGCTGCTCCCCCAGGCGTGGCCGCTTGGCTGGAGCGCCGCCGCCGAGGGTCTCACCAGCCAGAGGGGGCCCCGCAGCCGCAGCGGACAGCGCCTGGCCGATCCCGCCAGCAGGAGGGAGCCCTTCGCTGCTCATGGCCGAGCCATCGAAGTACAGCTTGCCGTTGTGCCTGCCGACAACTGGCTGCCGAAGCCTCCAGATACGCATCGTCCAGTGCGCGTTGGGAATGGAGACACCTCGCGCGTGCCGCACCTTCACGTGCCGCTCGATTCCTGGCCCGAGCAGTTGTCCGATGGCGTCCCCGAACAACAGCCGAAGCAAGAGGGGGCTGCAGTAGAGCTTCCGCCTCTCATGGCGGTTGAAGGCCTGCAGAGCACACGAGCTTGCAACTGAGCTCATCGCCCGAGGCCCGAGGAACATGGGAACGAACTCGTCACCGACGTCCACGACCATGCCCCACTCCGACTCGAGGCACCAGCCGAAACGCTCCTGGGTCCGCACCACCGCGTCGACGGGCGAGGCACAGCGCACCCCAGTGGAGGCTCTAGCGCACCTGGCTGATGCCGCCTCCAGCCCATGAGCACGAACCCTGAGTGGCAGCTCGGCTGGCTGCTGCGGATCCGCAATCCTTGCCATCGCCTCGGGATACCCAGGTACGCCTGCTCTGCCCATGGGGTCGCTCCACTCGCCAGTGCCGAACCCGAGGGCCCCGACCGCGTTCTCCTCAGCGCCCAGGGGCATGAGAACACAGCTGGGCCCTGCAGCGTTCTCTGGGTACATGGGCGGGTCGATGAAGTCTATGCCGTGGAACTCCACCAAGGCGCCCTCGACGACCTAGGCCCTCTGGTAGGCTGCCTCCTTGAGGGCGCTCGGGAGGGACCCCCTTTCCCAGCGCCAGCGGCAGGGCACGACTGGCGCCGTGGCCTGGCCAGGTGCAGGCGGGGCCAGCTCGCTCCCGAGGCTGCGTGGCTGCTTTCCCCCCATGCGGGCTGCCTCGGCGTGGCCCCACTCGTGCTGGCGCAGGCCCGCCGCACAGGTCTCGCTAGGCACTCGCTGGCCCTGGCTGCGCCCCTCCGACGCGGCCCCCAGCGGCGCTGCCAGCAGGACGGGAAGCCAGAGGAGCCAGGTCCGCCGCCTCTGCAGCCAGCCCCCGCTTGCATGCCTGGGCCACCGTCGGCCACTCGCCCAGCGCCTTGCCGCACCGCTCGGCTCGGCCTCGCTCCGCGGCTGGCTGTGGCTGCCAGGGGCCACCGCTGTCTGCGAGATCGCCATCGTCGCTGCTGATCTCCTCCATGGGGCAGGACTCAGCCCACGGTGCGCGCTTGGGGGCCACTGGGCCGCCCTCGAGCTGCCGCCCGCACGGCCTCCATCTGGGTGCGACTGGCTGCCCAAGCCACCTCGAAGTTGCTGGGGCCCCAGGCCTCTGGCAGCTTCTCCAGTTGCATGAGGAGCTCTGGCACCTGGCTGGCTCCTGTCCACTCGGCTGCGCGCTGGCGGCGCAGCGCCTCAGCCTCCTCGCGGGCTGCCTCCTCGAGCAACTGGAGCGCGCGGCTCGCCTCCTCAACCTCCGCGTCGAGCTCCGCGAGCTCCTCCTGGGCCTTCTGGAGCTGGGTCTCGACGAGGTTGCGCGCCACCTGCTTCTGCTCGAGCTCCTGGCAGGCTGCGCGGAGCCGCTTCTCGCCCTTGCTGATGGCGTTCGCTTCCCTGTGGAGCCGCGTCGCCCGTGGCAGGGAGGAGGCCTTCTGCTCCGCCGCCGCCTTCTGGGCCCTGACCAGCTCGGCGCGCTTCGCCTCCAGCTGGCTGGCCACGACGTCGGTGAAGCAGCCGTCCACTCCGTCAGGCGGCTCGGCCTGCAGCGCTTCGAGCTGCTCGACTGCCGCCTGGAGCCTCTCGATCGCCGTGGCGCCTCCACCGCTGGGCGTCCCACTCGCTGCCGACGCCGAGGTCTGCGACTTGGTGGAGGCTGCCCGCGAGGCCGCGCTGCGGGCCTGCCTCTGGGCCCGGCGCCCACGTGGCTGATCCACCCACCCGCCCTTGTCTGCCTTGGGCCTCGCCTTGGCAGGGGGCGCTCCCGCCGCCCAAGGCGGGGCCGCATACCCACAGCCAAGGCACGAGGCGCGACAATCCCAGTTCCATCCTCCGCAGCTGCTCATCCAGGAGGACTTGCTGCGCCTGCTGCTGCCGCCGCCGCGTGGGGACCTCGCCATGGCCACTGCCGCGCTGGCCGAGGGGCTGCGCCTCCGCGCCGCGAAAGCAGGGAGCAGAAACACGAAGTGCACTGGCCCAAAGCGCGGAGACCCTCGCGCTCAGAGCGCCGCGAACGACTCGTGGTCGTCGGGTTCTCCATGGCCTTGAGCCAAAATGGCTACGGATTGCTCGTGTGTGTTCTGCCGTGCACCTGCGTGTTCTGCCGTGCTCCTGTGTGCCTTGCCGTGCTCCTATGCATTATGTGTGTTCTGCCATGCTCCTCGTGTTCCTGTGCGTTTTGCCCTGTTCCTGTGTGTTATGCTGTGCTCCTGTGTGTGTTCTGCCATGCTCCCGTGTGTTTGTTGGGTTATGCCGTGCTCCTGTGTGTTTTGCCGTGTTCCTGTGTGTTCTGCCGTGCTCTCGCGCGTTCTGCCGTACTTCTGCGTGTTGGGCTGCCGTGATCCTGCCCATGTTCTGAAACAAAGGCTAAGTTTTAACACGCATGACCTTAATTCAGCCGGTTGAGCATCTCATGTTTGCGAGGATGCCTCTGGCGATACCCCCAGCTACACACGTTTATTCAATTCGCGGTCTTCATTGTCAGGTGAGTGTCTCTGTCGAAATGCTTGTGTTTGTGAAAGGCGGTGTTGCGAACAACTCATTTTGGTGAGGATTTTCCAGACGAAATGCGAAATCTGAGGGATCTCGAGGGCGCTCTTGGGGTCATATTGGGCCTCGTTTGGGGCTGCCCCGACGCCATCAAAAACATGTCAATGCGATGTCACACACATATCTTCTTTGAGGATGTCCCTAACGAAATCGTAATTTTTAGAAACCTGGTTTGGGCCGTCTGGAAGCCTTTTTCGAGAGCGATGCCAAGACGGGGTTAGAACGCAGCTTGAGGATGACCCTAGCGAAATCGTCACTTTCGGCAGTCATCAGGGCGGTCTTGGAGCCATATCAAGGTCCTGGTTGAGTTCTCATTCCCTCTTGAAGCACTTCAAGAAAAATGTCAAGACGATGTTGAGATCATTTCATTGGTTTGACGATGTCCCCAGCGAGATGCAAATTTTCTGCCGTGTTTTTTTTCTGGTCCGCCGTGCTGCCAAGCATGTTCTGAGGATGTCCCTGGCGAAAACACCGTTTTCAACATAAGCGGCAGTAGAACACCTCCGGCGACATGCAATTTGTTTGAGGATGTCTCAGGCGAAACGCAAATTTGTACAGATGGATGAATTTCGCGGCGATCAGTGGTTCGAGGATGTCTCGAGCGAAACGCTAGTTGTTGTTG